CAATTTAAGATTATTATTTGAGCTTGCAGTGTGATTCACTTGTGCATGCAAGAAGTTGCATATATTCACAGGCATCCTGTACTATGTCAGCAAAAGAAATTTGTCCACATGGCAGTTTTTTCATCAAGGTTATGGAGAGTGTCATTTCCTCTGCAATTTTCCTAGCAATAGCAGTGTCCTTACCAATCAGAATTTATCTGGCAGGTCTGAGTTTATTCAGCTAGGAATGACACATAGCTGTAAATCAGGCAAGGGAAAGGAGGGAGGAACTGGGGAACATTAAAACATTAAACCTGAGGAAACTTGGAATCATCAGGAAGTTGTTCTAAGCAAATTGTTGGTGCTGAAGGCTAACAAGTTCCGTAACAAATCCTGATCCTTTGGTCTGAAAAGAAGCAACTAGTGAGCTAGTTATGTGTTAGTCCTAGGTTCAGGGAACATTCCATTAAATTGGAGAATAGGGTAAGTAGCTCCCTTGTTCATAAAGCAAGGGAGGCAGAAGACAGAAAACTGCAGGTCAGTCAGCTTAACATCTGTTAGCGAGAAGATATCAGATGCTACTGATAAAGATATCATGGCAGGACACTGAAAAATTCAAGTTAATTCAGGAGTGTCAACATAACTTTGTGAAAGCAAAGTCTTGTTTAACCACTTTGTCAGAGTTGTTTGAAGAAATAGCATGTTGGTAAAAGAGAACCAGTGGGCAAACTGTGCTTAAATTTTCAAAACACTCTTGATAAGTTGTTTGATAAAGTTTCTTTAATTCGTTAAGGAAATAAAAGCTTGTGGTGGACGGGGCTGACGTAATTAAGATTAGCTAGCTAATCCAAAACAGAATGGCATAACTGAGCCATTCTCTGGTTGCAAAGATGTAACAAATGGTGTGTCACAAAGATCAGTGCTGTTGCCTCAATTTATTACAACTTATTACAATTGACTTGAATGAAGAAATTGAAGGTATTCTTGTTAACTGCGCTGATTACGTAAAGATAGGTAAACAAGAAAGTTGTGAAGAGGATGTGACGCTACAAAGGGAAAAACTAAATTACGTAACTGAGCAAATATCTGGCAGATTGAGGCTAATGTGAGAAAATGTGAAATTGTCTGTTTTGGCAGGGGAAAAAAAACAAAGCATATTATCTAAATGGTGACAGGATACAGCATTGGTTTCCTTATTTAAGGAAGGATGAAATGTGTTAGAAGCAGCTCTGAGAAGATTTAATATACTGATACCTGGAATTGTTGCTTGCCTTATAAGGAAAGGTTGGACGGGTTTATTTTTTGAGGGTTAAGTATTTTTGGTACTCTACTTCAAGATATTGGAAGCAGAATCCTTGATTTTTTTTGAGGCAGATAAAGCTAGATTCTTGATAAGAAAGGGGTTGGCAGGTTATTGAGAGTAGGCATAAAATGTTAACTCCACTTGCCACTGATGTGTTGTACCATTTGAGCTGTGGAGCGACACAAAGGCAAATCAGTATTTCAGTGTAGGTAACGTTACTAACTGAATATTTCAGCTGAGGGAGTGAAATTAAACCAAAATCTCTGTCTGCCACCTCAAGTGGGTGTCAAATCTCATCACGATTTTGAAGGAAAGCATTGGAATCCTCCTCGGTGACCTGGCTAATATTTATTGCTCAGTCGATGTCACTGAAATGGTATCGGGCCACTTATTTCATTACCATTTGTAAGAACTTGCTGTGGATGAGTAGGCTGCTATCGTTTTTATGTTACAGCATTGATTACATTCCAAACAAATACTTCAGGAGCTCTTGAGTACTTTCAAGGCATCCATCGTTGTGAAAGACACTATATAAGTGTAAATTCATGATTTGGCAGCATCTGTGAAGAAAAATCAGTGTTAATGTTTTGGGTCCAGTGACCGTTCCTCAGAACTGATAGTAACTAGGAAAACATCGGCTTATATAAGGATCGTATATAAACTGATGTTTTCCTAGCTACTTTCGGTTTTGAGGAAAGGTCACCGGACCCAAAACATTAACTCTGATATTTTTCTTCACAGGTGCTGCCAGACCTGCTGAGCTTTTCCAGCAACTTCTGTTTTTGTTCCTGACTTACAGCATCCACAGTCCTTTCGGTTTTCAGATTCATGATTTGCTTTATGCGGATTAAAAGCATGTGTTATTGCACATAATTTATGACTCTTGCTCTGATTTTTCTCTTAGTCCAACATTTTGCTGTAGCACAGATTTCTCTTGAATGAGGCCGACAGACTTCACAAATTTGGCTTTGCTGGTAGGACGTGCCTCATGGAAGTCTGCACTTGATGTACTCCCTCTGTGGAGAAATGCATCAAGAGCTTTCCATTTACTCTGGATAGGGACAGGTTGTGCATACTGTAAAATCCTGAATTCATAAAAGTCTTAGGTATTGGATGTTTTTGTACCTGAAATCTGAAAAACTACAACATGAAATGACCAATGAGCCATTGTGCTTGTGGTGCCAACTGTTCATTTTTGCTTATCCATTCCCTATATTCATTACTTTTCAAATGGAATTGAATTATGAGTTAATATTTCTACCTGTGGTTAAACTTTCTGTGGAAAATAATTCTTATGATTTCCCACCATTCTTCTAATGATAATTGGGCCATGACTCTTGTAACTGATTAAATTATTAACCAATGGCGACAGTCTTTCTGTTCTAAAACCTTTAATATGTTTGAAAACTTCCAAACCACTTGGACTGTACTTGACAAAAGAAATCCAGTCTTTCTTTCTAGCTTGAAGTTCTCTTTCTGGTATTTCATTCAATGAATTTATGGCACAGTAAGTGACGTCCTTTCTGCCAGCAGGGGTTTATCTAGAAGATGTTCATAGTGTTGACTTTTTGCGTTTAATCAGGAGAGTAAATGAGAACAGAAGTGGTTTATTTAGCCTAGCTCCGGACTGTATCAAGTTCAACAACTTTAGGGTTTAAACTCTCTCATGTCGTTATCCCAAGCCAGGAAGAAGCGTCCCGATGCAAAACGTCAGCTTTCCTGCTCCTCTGCTGCCTGGCCTACTGTGTTCCTCCAGCTCCACACTGTGTTATCTTGTTATCACATTATCACATGGCCTGCTATTACACACCACCCATTGGTAGCCACTAATATCCCCATTAACAGCTATTTGGCCTTCTGACCAGATCGTTATCCAGTCTTTGTCTGTCTGACTGCTGTTCTCTCTCTTTAGACTCTATGCCCACTTATCGTTTACTCCTAACCTCCCACCCTATCTTCTGCATATAAACTGACATTCTTCCAGCTGCCATCAGTTCTGAGTAAGGGTCACTCAGCCCAAAAGGTTAACTCTGATTTCTCTCCACAGAAGCTGTCAGACCTGCTGAGCTTTTCCAACACTTTCTATTTTTGTCTCTGATTTAGAGCATCCACAGTTCTTTTGGGTTTTCATTTGGTTAATTTAGCTCCTCAAGCCAATTCCTTGACAAATGATTGGGGAACCTAGACAGAGGAAATTGTGTCATTGAAAAAGAGGTGAGTTTTGATGGGGAATGTCTGGGATGTTAGTACCAATGAGGTGAGGAACCAAGTGTAGGCGATAACCCAGCGACATTGAGTGTCTGTTCTTTGAAGATTTGTTGGCGAAGCTTGTTGGTGAGATAGAATACTGAGAAGTGTAAATGAAAAACCCTTGTTCCTGATATTGGAAAGAGGGTGACTGGTAATGTATTCTGACTCATTTGGATGCCTGGCCTTGCTTTTGCACATTTGCCAAGAACACACAAAGCATAGAGCCGTTTTGAATGTAGCTGTGTAACCTAAATGGGCAATTAGAATGAAAGAGAATTAATTAAAACAGTTTACTAGCAATAGAATAAGCTCTCTTGTGATTTTAGACAGGAAGTAGGTTTAATGGATGGTTACTTAATGGGTATTGGGTGTGGGGGAATGGTGTGATGAGTTGCAGAGAATTGTATGTGGTTTAACTGAAGCACAGCTATTGAAAGTGCCAGCTCAGCATTTTGCTGTGTTCAGTCTGAACAAATTGTAAACCTTGTGTATGTTGTGGGTGGGATCATATGTAGAAAAGAAGAAGAAAGTCAAAGTTACAATTAGATAAACTTTTCAGCCTGACACTGAGCTCCCTAGGATAACCTGCCAAATACCAGTTGGCACAAATTCAGAATTAGTGCTGCAAGAGAGCTTGAGCTTGGGAATTTTTTTTTTCATGGAAAAAGCTCTTGGGATATTTTGCCAGATGCTGTTATTAAAACCAGGTGAATAAAGATATGCAGGAGGGAATTAACTAAGTGTTTCAGGGAAAATGAAAGGCTGCAAAACGTTTCTATAATCTTAGGAAAGAGAACAGAAATGTGGATTCAAATAACTTGTATCGTAGCTAACACTCTTAGTTGGCTGGAGAAACCCCTGTTATGCTGAAATCTGGGATTCTAAACATTTTGAGCAGTGGCTTTGCACTTTTTTCAGGACATCGAGCAGAGTACTTGCAAGTCCTGATATCTCCAGGGGTCCTGTGCAAATGATATATTTTTATGTAACACTGTCCCTGAAATAGTGTCAGCAACCACCTGAATGATGTGTGCCAAGAAAGTCAGCTTTTAATCTGTTCTCATTTTTTTGTACATCTTTAATTTTCATCAATTAGTATATATAAAAAGATTAATCTTGAAAATGTTGGTTGAATGGCCTGCTGCTGTGCTACAGACATCAATGATGACCTGGTACAATAACAAATAACACCATAGTTTTAAAGCACTATTTGTTTTGTTTAACTGAAACATGGCAAAATCTCAATGAATTTTGCAATACTGAAAAAAAGCTTAAGCATAAGCTACTAAATTACACAACTTTCCGACTTTAATGTGAAGCTTATGAAGTTATTTCATAAGCGTTGTGGAGTGATTTTCTTTTTTCTTTCAGTCTTTGATATTAAATTGATACTGAGATTTGCCCATTTATGGCTATGTTCTCCCATCTCTCATTCATTCTTTTAATTTTTGTCCTTTTATTGTTTCAGCTGTGGGAATAGGGTCCTGGTGCTTCCATATGACGTTGAAATATGAAATGCAGGTGAGCAACTGCACAGCTATGTCATTCATTAAAGTTTTGGTGTCTTGGCTACCTATGTACATCTTGAATATTCTTGGTATGTGTGACAATATAACATTTGATTTGATTTATTATTGTCATATGTAGGGGGTGGCACAGTTGCTCAGTGGTTGGAACTGCTGCTTCTCAGCAGCAGGGAGCCAGGTTCAATTCCTTGGGCGACTGTGTGGAGTTTGCACATTCTCCCAGTGTCTGCGTGGGATTCCTCTGGGTGCTCTGGTTTCCTCCCACAGTCCAAAGATGTGCAGGCTGGGTGGATTGACCATGCTAAATTGCCCATCGTGTCCAGGGATGTTCCATGGATTAGCCATGGAAAATGCAGGGTTACAGGGATAGGGTAGGGGATTGAGGCTGGGTGGGATGCTCTTCATAGAGTCAGTGTGGACTTGTTGGGCCAAATGGCTTCTTTCCACACTATAAGGCTTCTATAAAAAGATTCTATAATGTACGTAAGTACAGTGAAAAGTTTTGTTTTGCGTGCAGTACAGGCAGATCATAACATACAAGGACATACAGATCATAGAGCGATTGAACAGAAATACGCATACAAAGTTATGGCTGCACAGGGTGTACAAAAAGCAAGATCGACATTAGATTTGAAATTTAAGATGTCTATTCAGCAGTCTAATAACAGCAGGGAAAAACCTGTTGATATGTGTGTTTTAAGCTTTGAATCGTCTGCCTAACGGAAGAGGTTACAACCGGGAGTGGGGGGGGTGAACGGGTCAGGTCTTTGATAACGTTGGCTGCCTTCCCGAGGTACGGGAAGTATAGATGGAATTACTGGATGGGAGGTTGGCTTGCATGATGTTCTGGGCTGTGTTCACAACTGTTAACATCATAACTTATCTTCATAAGTACCATAAGAAAGGAGAGCAGGTTTAAAATCTGGTCCACCAATGTTGATGTGACAGTCAAGAAAGCACAACAATACCTCTACATCCTCAGGAGGCTAAGAAAATTTGGCATGTCCATAAAGACACTTAACAATTTTTATAGATGCACCATAGAAAGCATTCTATCCAGGTGCATCACAGCTTGGTATGGCAACTGCTCTGCCCAGGACTGTTAGAAACTACAGAGTTGTGAACACAACCAGGTCCTTCATGCAAGCCAACTTCCTGCCCATTGACTCTATCTACACTTCCTGCTGCTTCAGAAAGGCAGCCAACATAATCAAAGACCCCGCCCACCCCAGTTGTAATCTCTTCCAACCTCTTCCATTGTGCAGAAGATACAAAAGCTTAAACCCGTGTACCAACAGATTCAAGAACAGCTTCTTCCCCGCAGTTATTAGACTCCTGAATGGACCCCTCAGAAGGTGTTCTCTGGGTGCATTCTCTGCAGCCGTAACACTGTATTTCTTGCTCTGTTCTGTTACCCTGATGCACTTTGTATTGTATGTTCTTGCCTGTACTGGATGCAAAACAAAACTTTCATATGTACCTAGGTACATATGACAATGATAAATCAAATCAAAAAATATGTAGCCCTTCAAGTCATTCGTGTATAATCACTTTCCACCTGAATTCCACATTCCCATAAAATTATCGTATCCTTTTAATTCCATTACAATCCAAAAACTATCGATTTACTTTCCTAATTGCTTACTATATCTGCATGATAACTTTCAACGTTCATTTATACTGATACTCAGACTGCACTGAGTACCAATGTTTTCCAGTTTAAATATTTTACCATTTAAAAATATTCTGCTTTCTTATTTTTCTTTTCAAAATGGTGAGTCTCACGATTTTCCACATTATACTCCTCCTACCATATTCTTGCTCACTCAGTTGTGTATAACTGTCCTTACAACTTATCTTCCTGTTCTGTTGACAAATTTGGACACATTATGCTTGGTGCCCACATCTAGGTTATTGATATTGATTGTTAATATAAGAGATCTGCAGGTCTAAAATAAATGCAAGGATCATCATATGCTTTAACATCTCAATTTATTCATGTGGTCATGGTGTCATTTTCAACACATTAATCTATTTAGTATTGATTTGAAAGTCACTAACAACCATCTCTACCTTGTTTGTCTTCTACAGCGAGGAGCATTTGTTGTCAGGGCAACCTATGGGTTAGTGGTTGGATTTAGATTCCATTCATTTCTGGACTTTTTTCAGAGGAGAACTACACCCAGACCCATTTAGTCAGATATCTAACTTTTATTAAATTGTGCACCCATGATGCTCTTTCAGTCATTAAAGTCTGAAGCTCCGAAAATCTTTGCACAAACCCCTCAACTGCTCCTCCACTTTCAATATTGGTAAATAGATATGTTTATGATTAAGCTTTTGGCTGACTGTTTTACCATTTCTTTTGGGAACTTGAGTTTAATAATTTTGTAGTGAAGAGACTGTTTACTACATTAAGGTGCTCTATAGATGTCCGTTCATACAGCAATTTCCAACAATGTATACCCACATGAGTGTGCAACTTGCATGCTTGATTTTATTGTCACGTGTACCGAAGTACAGTGAAAAGCTTTGTTTATGAGCACTACAGGAAGATCACGGTAAGCAAGGATGTACAGAACAAAAAGACTTAGAGGCATATTGGTTACAATGCACAGGGCATGCACTAGGCGAGATCCATGTTAGCAAGATCAGCATTATTTGAGGCTAGAGAGTCTATTCACCAGTCTAATAACAGCTGGGAAGAAGTGGTCCCTGACCCTGTTGGTGCCTGTGTTGCGGCTTCTGTATCTTCTGCCTGATGGAAGAGGTTGTAGGAGATCATTACCAGGGAGTGATGGGTCTTTGATATTGGCAGCCTTTCCACAGCAGCAAGCCATGTAAATGGAGTCCATGGATGGAAGGTTGGCTTCCATGATGTTTGGGCTATGCACACCACCTTCTGTGGTTTCTTACGGTCCTAGGCAGAGCAGTTACCGTACCAAGCCATTATGTACCCAGACAGTATGCTTTCAATTGTGCATCTGTAGAAGTTGGTGAGAGTCCTTATGGATATGTCAAATTTCCTGAGCCGCCTAAGGAAGAAGGTGTATTGTTGTGCCTTATTGACCATGGCATCTACATGGGAAATGCAGGACAGGTTGTTGGTTATCTTCAGTCCAAGGAACTTGACGCTGTCTAGCCTTTCGACCTCAGTTTCGTTGATGTAGATGGGGGCATGATCTCCTCCTTCCTTCCTTTCTGAAGTCATTGATTAGTTCTTTAGTTTTGCTAACATTGAGAAAGAGGTTGTTGTCATTGCACCGCGTCACCAAACCTCTATCTCCCTTCTGTATTTTGACTCATCAGGGAAGGATGTGTCTTTGTCTGCTATCTTGCTCTGCTTCGTTTTGTATCCCATAATGCTGTTTAGGCCCCACCATAAGTGGTGGGAGTCTGATAGGTTTGGGCCTCTGTCTTGGTCCGATACCGCCTCTTGGCATCCCTAATGGCTTTGCGGAGCTCATCTGGATTTCTTGTGTTGGTCTGGGTCATCTAACTTGAATTCTGTGTGCCTGGTCTTCAGTAGGGAGTGGATTTCTTGGTTCATCTAAGGTTTACAGTAGGGGACTACTCAGATTGACTTCTTTGGTACACAGTCCTCCACGCATTTGCTAATGAAGTCCGTGATGGTGGCAGCATACTTGTCTAAGTTTTCTGTGGAGTGCTTGAATACAGTACAGTCCACCGATTCCAAGCAGTCCTGGAGATGGTCTTCCACAGCCTCGGACCAGTATTGTACTTCCTTTTGTGAAGGGTCTTCCCATTTCAGTTTCTGCTTATAAGCCCGGAGGTGGAACATAGCTGTGATCTGATTTTCCAGAGTGTGGGCAGGGGATGGAGTGGCAGGCATCTTTGTTTGTGCAGCAGTGGTCCAGATTGTTCACCCCTCTGGTGGGGCAGGAGATGTGTAGCACTTGCATGAGGCTGTAGCTCATGACTTAGGGACAACAATGTATGCATGAATTTCACATATCGCATGTTTGATTTTGCTGAAACACTTCATGACGTAGCTGGGCTAGATTCAGCAGAACTGAAATAGTGATTTAAATAATTCAATAATGTTAAAGAGTGTACATCATATACTGACCTAAGCAACATACCAAAGCTCCTTCAACAGCACCTTCTAAATCCACAAGCTCCGTCAGCCAGAAGGGCAAGGAAACACCAACACCAACATTTGCAAGTTCCCTTCCAAACCACGCACCATGCCATTGCAACCACTCATTATTCTTTCACCGTTGCTGGGTCAAAATCTTGGAATTCTCTTCTAAACAGTATTGTGAGGGTACTTATGCTACGTAGACTGAGGTGATTCAAGAAGGCTACTCACAACTAGTCTCAAAGGGAATTAGTTGGAGGAGTCAGTTAGCTCAGTTGGCTGGCTTGCAATGCAGAGTGATGTCAATAATAAAGGTTCAATTCCCACACTGCCTGAGGTTACCATGAAGGACTCTCTTCTAAAACGTCTCTCTTTGTCTAGGGCAAGGTGATGGTTAAACCACTATTGGTTGTTTCTGTCTAATGAGAGAGCAACCTTGGTCTGGTAGGACTTTGGCAACTTTGCCTTTACCTAACTGTGCCTCTAAAATGGGGAAAAAAAAAGCATACAATTCTGTACTGCTAAAATTTAAAGCATCAATACCATACTGCATACTATTTTACATTATTATAGTTTTCTCGTTCCTCGATTTCCCCAGGAGTGCGCTGGTGCAAACTTTCACAGGTTGTGGTTATCTAGTACTTTTCCCACATTTAATATATGAATTTTTTTTAAAAAAATAGTTCATTCATGGGATGTGAGCTTCAGTGAATGGGCCAGCATTTATTGCTGATGCCTGATTGCCCTTGAGAAGGAGATATTGTGAGATGCTTTCTTGAGCTGCTGTAGCTCATTTGCTGTAGGTACCCACACTGCTGGTAGTGAGGGAATTCCAGGATTTTAGCCAAATGATTGTGAAAGCACAGTAATATATTTTCAAGTCAGGACAGTGA